GCAGGTAGCAGCAGCCACTAGAACATTGTTCGACATTCTGAACCTACAAATAAATCTGGCAGAGTGTGTGCTTACTTCCACTCGGACTATAGAATACATAAGAGTGCACTTGGACTGCAGGTAAGCGATAGCTTCACTATCAGAGCACAGGCTCTCAGCTATCAAGGATCTGGTATCCCTGGAACAAGCCAGTGCATCTATAACAGCATGTGTCTGCCTACAACTACTGGGACACATGGCAGCAGCCACGTTTATGGTACTATACACCCGGCTGCACATGAGACCATTGCAGGCCTGGCTAAGCACAGTGTATAGACCACACACACACACACACACACACACACCATATCAACAAATGTCTTACCATGCCAAGCAGAATAAAGTCCACACTCATGTGGTAGACACTACACCAGAATGTGTGCAGAGGGGTCCCCTTCCAGCAACCATCTGCAACACTAGAAGTTATGACAGATGCCTCGCTAATGGGCTGGGGAGCCCATTGGGCAAACACATTGTCCAAGACCAATGGGACAAGCAGGTGACAAACATCCACATAAATCTACTCAAACTCAGGGTAGTGTGTAATGCTTGTGTTCATTTTCTGCCCCTGATTTGGAACAAAACAGTCCAGATACTAATGGACAATGTCACAACAGTGTATTCTATCAATCGGCAAGGGGGAGCTCAATATTACCAGTTATATTGGGAAGTGGTTAAACTGTGGGAGTGGTGCATCCCGAGAAACGTAACACTTATAGCAACCTACCTCCCAGGCAAGGACAACATCCTGGAAGATAGTCTCAGCAGAAACTTCCCACACAAACTCGAGTGGGAGCTCAACCCCACAGTTCTGAACCATCTATTTAAAAAAATGGGGATTTCTGCTGATAGACCTCCTTGCCACCCACAAGAACAAGAAGTGCCTGTATTACTGTTCGAGAGCGAGCATAGGTTCCCAATCCTTGGGGGACACGTTCAGCATAAAATGGGCAGCAGCCCTCCTGTATGCATTCCCACCTTTCCCTCTGATCCAATGCCAAGTAATACTCATAGCCCAGAGTTGGACCAGACAAACCTGATATCTTTACCTGCTGCAGAGGAGTGTACGTCCACCATCCTGCCTCCCTCCAGTCCGATCTCTGCTCATATAGCAGAATGGGCAGATGTACCATACAGATGTCCACACACTCTATCTTAATGCCTGGATGGTAACTGGTTGATTCCTGCAGAAGTGGAGTATCCCGAGGAAGTGCAGCAAATCTTTGTGAACTGCTGCACACCTGCAACTAGAAAAACATTTAAACAAAAATGACGTTGCTTCACGGTCTGGTATTCCAAACAGAACTGTACTCCTATAGAGATGGGAGTTTCACAGATATTTACCTGCCTGTTAGAACTACACAAAACAGGTCTGTCACTAAGTTCATTTAAAGTACATCTTGCTGCCATAGCAGCACTACATCCACGAATACAAGGTTATTCTGTCTTCACTCACCTGTCCATCAAGAGATTCCTCCGGGGCTTACACAGTATGTTTTCACCAATGAAGAGACCCACTTCCAGCATAGGACCTTGACCTCATCCCCAGAGCACTCATAGACAAGCCCTTTGAACCATTAGCCACCTGTTCCCTTCTACACCTATCATTGAAGGTCACCTTTTTAGTTGCAATTATCTCTACAAGAAGAGGGGGTGAGCTAGGCACACTAATGGCAGATCCTGTGTACACAGTATTTCATAAGGACAGAGTGGCCCTCCATACTCACCCCAATTTTCTTCCAAAAGTACTTACCTCATTCCACTGTAATGAACCCATATACTTACCCATCGTCTTCCCTAAACCTCACAAGGACCACAGAGGAAGAGCACTACACACCCTCAATGTCCGCATGGTAGTTGCCTTCTACTTACAACATACAGAACCCTTTCGCAAATCTCCATGACTCTGTCATTTACAGAGAGATCAAAAGGGTTACCCATATCCAAACAAAGACTGTCCAAATGGATATCGGGCTACATACATCTAGCTTTCGACATATTCCAAAAGGAGCCCCCAGAGACCATATGTGCTCACTCCACAAGAGCAATGCCAGCATCAACAGAATTCCTCAGGAGCGTACTAACAGAAGAAATTTGCAAAAATGCCCTGTGGGATTCAGCACCCATCCTTCACATAGCATTATGACATCCAGTTGTCTGCGGACACTAATATGCATTTTGGCTGAGCGATATTGGTAGTTACCAAGTAAAATTCACCCAAGTGCCCACCACCAAGCACGAATACTGCTTCATAGTCACTTCAAGGTGGAGCACCCATGGGAACACTTCTTAAACAGAAAGGGAAGGTTACCTACCTAGTGCAGTAACTGGAGTGCAAGATGATTGTCCCCGTGGGTGCTCCACCTCCCACCCTCCTCCCCTCTGCTTTGGATCTGGCTACATCTGGGTCAGCGAGAGAACCAAAGAGGCAGTTGGCTGTGCACGCGGGATAGTGATTCCAAAGGTTGCCAACCAGTTCGTGCACAACTGACCAAGAACACCGCTGTCATAAATCTCCGATTAGAGGTGCAGCAGCGCTGGCACACTTCAAGGTGGAGCAAAATTCTGTCTTTCCAGATCAGAAAGCTTGGTAGTTTGAATACTCTTTCATAATCCACATTTCTCTAAGATACGAGGTATACATCAAGCCTACCCAAAACTTTCCCATAGTTACTGTCTTCAGTAAAGTCAATGGATTTAAAATTTCTATATGGAATTCTGTAGTAATTAAAAGTCTTGCAAAATAGTGTTTCCAGTCTGTCCATTGTGATGGTTCATCAGAGCTGAAGTTGTCTGGAGCATTGAAAAGTAGCAAGTTGATGAGATCCTGCAGTCTTTCATGGCATTAGTACAGTTGTCAGTAACCTAAAGCCAGGACTACACTACACCTGAAACGTAGATGGAGTTGACATACCTTAAGTTGAGCTCTGGCACCGTCCTCACAGTGGGAGGTTAACGGGAGAAATGCTCCTTTCGACTTCCCTTACTCCTCATAATGAGTAGGAGTTCTGGCATTGACAGGGGCGTGCTCTCAGTGTTTGATTTAGTGGGTCTTTACTAGACCTTCTTAATCTAAATCAAACACCAGAATGTTGACCACCGCAGTGTCAATCTTCTCTGAAGTCTAGAAAGGATCTTAGTTGCAGTTACTTTTGAACTTGTCATGTATTTCTGGTACATGGTAGGTTTTAAGGTTGCTGTTAGCAGGTCAGGGTTGTGTACCAGATATAGAATGACTACAGTGCTTCCTGCGCAGAAAAAGAGAGAAAGCAAGCAAGCAGAGATATGTTAACTGCAAGATTCTGTAATGTTCTGCCAGGTGTTGCTAGGGTTAGCGTAAATAAGTTATGTTACAGCATCACCTAGTGGTAGAACTGTATAATAACGAAATAGTCCTGTGGTACCTTTGAGACTAATAAAAATATATATAGCATCATGAGCTTTCATGGGCAAAATCCACTTCTTCAGATGAGCTGGAAGCAGTTTAATATCCCATTGCAGGCCATCCTCACTATATGTTCAAGATATGTTTGAAAAAACTTTGACTTATAGCAAAACAACTTAAAGCAGGGAATTTTTTTCCTGCAGCTGACTTCCATTTGCACGATTTTTTTTTTATGCACAACTTAAGAGTGGGGAATAGGAGGACTCATAACACATCAGTTCCTACAAGCGTCAATTACTTTAGGGCAGAATGGATGTGAACCAGGGCGACTTATAGCGGGGACGACCTGTACACTCTAACTCTTGAATTCTTTAAAGATTGATATAATCATCTAGCCTTAGGGCTGGTTAGCCTTCAGGCCCTGCCCTTTGGACTAGCCTGTGATTGGCTGTGATTGGCTGTGATTGCTGGAATGGAAGTGACACAATCTAGCCCTGTGTACTTCCACCTCTCACTGTTAAAATGCATTGGGTGCTAATTCTTTTCTAGTGACTTAAAAAAGTGGCCCGATTTTTCAAATATTTTTAGCATCTGTAGCTCCCATTGACTTCAGTGGTTTCTCAGCATTGCTGAAAATTAGGCCACTTGCTATTTAGATGCCTATATATGGATTAAGGATACTAACTTGAGGCACTCACCTATCTACCTATCTACCAGGAGTCTGTTTAAATTATAAAACATACAGAAAATATACATACAAAATATATAATATACATAAGAACATCAGAATGGCCATACTGGGTCAGACCAAAGGTCCATCCAGCCCAGTATCCTGCTCGCCGACAGTGGCCAATGCCAGGTGTCCCAGAGGGAGTGAATCGAACAGTCAAGCAATCTTTCTCCTGCCATCCATCTCCACCCTCTGACAAACAGAGGCCAGGGACACCATACCTTACCCTCACTGGCTAATAGCCATTTATGAGCTTAACCTCCATGCATTTATCTAGTTCTCTTTTAATATATTCTACTGTTGTTTACTCCTAAGCAGTAATCCTTGTTGGAAGTGGAAGTATATATCGGGACAAGAAAGGCAACAGATACCATGGGAGTTCTCCCACCAACCCTTTGCCTAGCCTATGATGAAAGTGGCTCAGTAAGCTGTTACCCTTGCCTCAGAGACAGAGGGGCTCCATTGAGGGTAGTAGTAAGCCTCTAAGGCATGTGCAGTCTGCCAGGACTTGGGGGACCCACCAAGACAAGGTTGGAGCTTTGCCATAATATATACATGTATACACCTTCCTTCTCCCCAACAAGACCTGCCATCCACCCACTCTCCACATGCATCTCTGTCACTGTGGAGTTTATTGCAGATACAGTGGCCCACTTTTATGCCTTCAGTTGAATGGGTAAGGACACTCAGAGTGGGCATTGAAGTCCAGTAATCTGTTTGGAGTGCACTGGGCTCATGTGTACAAATAGTGGAACACATCTTGAGGAACCACAGTTTCTGTATGGTAGATAATAGTTTATTTTTTATTTAAGACCTTGTAATTGCTTAACTTCAATCACTTCTCAGGTCACTATACAGGAAAACAGCTGTCACCTGAAACACTGAACCAGCTGCACATCATTCTGTGGGACAGAGCTGCCAAGAGCTATGAGGTTTGAGAAGAGCAGAATCTTTGTTCTTTGCTTTAAAAAAATCAATGAAGGGTCACTGTTATAGGGTAACACTGGTCATTTGAGAGCAGATCTAGTGCATCTGTGATGCATCAGCTCACACCAACTGGGTTTTACATGAGGATACCTGTAAATGGAAGATACCCAGTGAGTCAAGGCGAACCTGAGAGCACAGGAAAGGGGGCAGGTGCCTATGAGAGAGAGTCATCAGAGACACTGCGAGCGGGCACTGTGTGAGAAGGAGGAGAAACGGTAAGTGTGATGGGGTTCCCAGGGTGCAATTTGGACTGTGGGACTATTGATCCCTCTGTCCCACCAGCCTGGGGTATCCCTCACATTGTGATGCTGTTGGCACATACTACACTTACACAGATATCCACAGGCACACATGCCAACTTAGTTACACAGTTTCTTCTCCCAGCTACTCATGAACTAGCAATAGAAAAGCTCCAGCTAGTTCTCCCCAGCTTTGCATCCCAAGACCGTATCTTCTTCCACTGGTCAGAAGCCTGACTAGAGTAAGTTCATTACCCATTCCACCAGTGTTCCCTTTAAGTTTTTCCATCCATGAGCAGAGTGAGTTTTGTCTTTGCACCAATATTGAGGTCATATGCGCTTAGTCAGATGTTTCCCACCGTTGCACCCACCAGTTACTAAGAAATATCATAGTCTTCTTCAAGGAGTGTCCCTGTGGGTGCTCCACTGTAGATGTTTTGGCACCCCTGTGCTTGGAACCAGAATTTTTCAGTAGCAGTACTCCGCCTCCTGGGTGGTGGCACACGTGTTGTACCGCACATGCTGTAGCGAACGTGCCATCGTGCGTGCACCGTCAACCACCCGTCAGTTCCTTCTTAACTGCTCCTGGTTTGGAAGGAACACAGTAGCATTCCATGTGTTACCATAGAGATTTAGTGAAGTAGCTATTATTAGATAATTTTTGTTAGTTGTGTTCTCATCTCGGTTTTCCCTGAGTTACTTTAGTTAGTTTAAAGAAAAAGGTTCATAGTCCTTACTTAGGTTAAGTTAAGCATGCCAGGGTTACCAGGATTTAAATGCTGCCTGACATGCAGAATGTCGATACCCTTCTCTGATGGACATGCTGACTGTATCTGTTGCTTGGGCTAGGAGCATTTCTCGAAGAGCTGCCACCATTGTAAAAAGCTCTCTTCCAGATCTTTAAAGGCGTGGGAACTCCAGCTATAGCTCCTCACCATGGAGATAGTGGATAGGCCAGTCTTGGAACTGGCACCTCTAGCCTCCCTGGTACGGACCTTGCCCATGGCAGCTTCAGATCAAGGGTCCTTGGCCAAAAAAATGTCAAAAAGCATTCTTCATCCTTGGCAGAGAGGGCACCAAAGAGACGGCTATCCCCACAAAGAAAGCCTCCATCGCCAAAGGGGAAAGCTACAGGGGATCTGCAGGCACCGGCGAAGTCAGGTATGGTCAATTCCTGAGCTGCAATATCTACCAAAGATTCAAACCCTGCGGTACCAGCACCCAAGCTGAGAAAAAATACTGTGCGCTGTCAGTACCATAGGTGTTGGTATCAACGAAACTGGCGCTGAAACAACTTCATGGTGCGGAGGATAAGAAGTGCTCCAAACTGTTGATACGCATACCACCCAAGTTTGTACCGACGAAGGGTACAGAAGTCTCCCTGGTATTGTCTGTCCTGGGTACTGGCGTACTCGCTAGCTCAGGCACAGCATGTGGCACTGATGGTGCGAACATTTGCCATGCCAAGACCAGTGACTACCCAGCAAGAACTGAAAGTAATGTCGGTACCAGGCACATCATTATTCAGTACCAATGCTTCACCAATACTGTGGGGAAGAAGCAGGATAGCCACTCCCACCAGCTCGGCACCCCTCTTCTCCAGTGACAGCGATGATGATGAGGAGATTACATTCTCCTCCAGACACTCATCACTGAAGCCAGCAGTGCAAACACAGCTGCAGCAACAAATGCCCCAACCTCAGATGTGGCAACCTTTCCCATGGCTCCCTCCCTTTCCACTCCCCAGCCTTGGCAGGGTGCATTGAAAACTCAGGTTGAGACAGCTCAATTAATGCCTCCGTCCAAGCCTCCTGCAGTGGAACGCAGACCCCCCCAAGTCCAACGACATTGGAAGTCACACTGGGCGACTTTCAGAGAGAGGATACGTTACCTACCTTGCACGTCTCATCCTCTTCCCCTGATGAAACAGTAATGCCTCCTCCGCCAACCGTGGGGGATGTCTTCTAGTCCTTCCAGGATCTATACAAGAGAGTGGTTAACACACTAGACATCTCGTTGGTTGAGGTCCCCGAGACACAACAAAAATTCACCAACATTTTGCAGGCCTCACTGTCCGCAAAATTGAACTACCAGTCGATGAGGCCATATTAGACCCTGCAAAAATACTATGACAGACACCAGTTTCTGTTTCCCCGACATCAAAGAAAGCAGATAGAAAATACTATGTCTCAGCAAAGAGGGCTGAATTTTTATTTAGGCATCCAGCACCAAACTTACTGGTAGTTGATATGGCCAGCAACAGAGGCAGGCAGACACAATATACATCCACTCCATATGACAAGAAGCAGAAGAGACTTGACATCCTGGGCAGAAAGTCATACTCATCGGCCTCCATCCAAATCAGAATAGCTAACTACGTGATGATGTTAGCAAAGTACATGTATAATCACTTTGAGAACATGAAGAACTTTATTGAACGTCTCCAGGAAGGCTTCCTTCCAGTCCATCATAAATGAAGGATTCTGTATAATTAAGACGGCACTACAAATGTCCTTCTGTAGCAGACACTGCAGCATGGTCCTTAGCCACTTCCATAGACATGAAATAGGTATCCTGGCTCCATCTCTCAGGTTTTCCTAGAAATGTACAAAATACTGTTGAAGATCTTCTGTTTGAAGGCGGAAAACTTTTTTCTACACCACGGATGTCTCATTATACTTGCTTAAAGACGCATGAGTGACATTAAAGACCCTGGGCAGGTATGTCTCCCAATCCATGAAGAAGCTGAATAGACAATACACAGCACGGGTCAGAGCATTGTCATCATGCTCATCCCAAAGACGTTATGATTTGAGAAGAAGACAAAGACAACAGAAACTCACACAAACTCAGGAACAGCCAGCCATGTCTCAGTCTACCAATGGCCGACAAGCCTTTTGAAAACGTGGTCAAAAGTTCAACATAGTTTTCCAATGAGCGTTACCAAGACAGTCTGCAGCCCTTCTGCCATTCATGAGCCAAGATCACTACAGGCAAGTGGGCCTTAGAAGTCATACAGAAAGGCCTGGTGATACCATTCATCAAATTCCCTCCAACACAAACTCCTTCCCCATCCCTTTTCAGGGACCCCTGTCATACGTACTCATCACAGGGGAAAGGATTTCTACTCAAGATACTTCCTCACCCCCAAAAAATCAGGAGGTTGGAGGTCCATTCTGATTTTCCATTTAATGGGAAAATTGACCCCGCATAGCACGTTTTCGCTTAGCACTAACATTTTCAGAAACACATCTGTTATGTTAAATGAGAAATTACTGTACTCCAATTGAGGCCTAATCAGGGCAGAGAAGAGAGGAAGAATTACTTCTCATGTCTTGCTTACAACACTCCTGTTAATGCATCCCAGAGTGATATTTGTTTTTTTTTTGCAACAGTATTACACTGATGATTCATATTTTGTGGTCCACTATGTCCCCTAGATCCCTTTCCGTACTAATGCCTTCCTGGACAGTCATTTCCCATTTTGTATGTGTGAAACTGATTTTTATTCCTTACATGAACTAATTTACATTTATCCTTTATTAAACTTCATCCTATTTACCTCAGACCATTTCTTCAGTTTGTACAGATAATTTTGAATTATAATCCTATCCTGTAAAGCACTTGCAACCTCTCCCAGCTTGATATCATCCATAAACTTTAAAAGCGTACTCTCTATGTCGGGGTGGTGAAACTTTTTTGGGTCGGGGGCCACTGACCCACAAAAAAAATCAGTTGAGAGCCTCACACAAGTGAGAAGCAAAAAAACAAAACCTCTCAGACAACCCTCCCCCAAATCCTCACTGACGTGGCCCCTACTGAGGAGAAAGACTCTTCCCACACACCAGAGCCTAATGGGGCCCAGGCTAGTAGATTTTGTGTGCTCCAGCCCTGCGGGATGTGCTGAGAGAAAGAAAAGGCTCCTCTTGTCCACACAAAGGTTCTCCAGTTGGATAATTTCATGCATTCAGACATGTTATCAGCTAATGAGTGCTCAGCTGCCCCCACTCACCAGGGCCACTCAGCCACAGCGCAAGTCTCCTCTGCAGTATTCCTCACCAGTGTTCCTATCCAGGAGATTTTCAAGGCCGTGACCTGGTCCTCAGTGCACACCTTTGCTATGCACTATGCCTGCAGCATGCAAGAGCTGTGTTGCAGTCAGCATGTCAGTGAACACCTCCCACCTCCAAAGATACTGCTTGGATATGGGCAAGATGAGCAAGCATGCAAAAAAGAAAAGATGGTTACCTCTTTCTTTAACTGGCATTCTTTGAGATTCATTGCTCATGTCCATTCAACATCCCACCTTCCTTCCCGACGGTCTGAGTTTTTCTAGGAAGAAGGAACTGAGGGTGGAGGGAGCTGGAGGCACACCTGAGCTGGGGACACCTGAGCCGGCTTCCTTTTGGGAAATGCTAAGGGAAAATCTTCCAGTAGCGATGCATGTGGTGAGCATACACACCTGTGGAGAATGGTTATGTGCAACACATCTTGAAAAAATCCAATTACAGAAACTGGTAACTGTCTTTTCTTTCAAACACTTCAACAAAAACACTGCTTTAGGTAAAAATATAAAACAGATGTATTAACTACTGAAAGATAGATTTTAATTGATTGAGTAGTAAGCTAAAGATCAAATTTGGCTACTCAAGAAATAAAAGTAAATTCACAAAATGAGTTCTATAACCTGCATAGAATTTGAATCAAGCTGTATCTCTTTTTAATAGATTGTATAAACAGGTTATAGAACTTCAATACACAGGCTGGAACTCTCCTCCAGCCTGGGACCACCCTCCTCAGTTCATAGTGTGACGTAGTGGGGGTACTGTCTGCTCTGTAACCCGGTGACCCCCTGCGCTGTGCTGTGTGATTCCCACTGACTCACCCACATGTGTATTAGCCCAGACACCTAACTACCAGCCTAACCAGATAACAAGGCGCTTCCCAGGGGGAGAGACAAAGGGTGGGAGGCAGAGACGAACACCAGGCTTCGGGAGAAGGGTCAGTTGCTGGCTGGGAAACATGAAGGAAACAGCCTAAGCGGAGGGCTGAGGGTCTAGGGGGGGCAATGGACCCCCTAACCCGAGGGATCTGAGGCATCCTGGCCCTGACTCCTGAAACCATATCACGTCTATGCTGTGATGTATCCTGGAGAAGCAATAAATCCTCTCTATTCTACTGGCTGGTGGAGTCTGTTCTTGCTACTACGGGGCTGCAGGATCAGGGGGAACCCTGACTCACTGTCACACATAGTCTTTGTCCTCCAGATATGTTTCCAGGTGTTGAGTTATGGGGGGAGTGAGGCCTAGTGATGATACTGCTTCTCTTTATAGTTTCTTCCAGCTTGCTGAAAAGATCAGTGCTTGTGATTGGTCATTGGTCAAGCATTCTCCCTTGTACACATACTCTCTCTGAGAAGTCTTCTGGACTAGCAATTGGGAAAGTGGACTTCCTTTCATGTGCCATCAGCATGTCTGGCTATTCCATTGTTGTACCTGAAAGGCTGGTTGTGGGTGTTCCCAATTTCACAGTATATTTCAGTAATACACACAAAGGAAAACTTCATAACTTCACATACTCTGATAGCACATACAATTCAATGGGATATTTATGTTCAAGGACCAAGACTTTTAAAATGATAACTCATTAGGCACACTTTGTACAAAACATAATTATGTGACAGTAGTGAATATGGGGATTCCAGGGTGCTTTCAGTTACAGAGCGTCATAATAGAGGGCTGGAAGAGGGGATAGATTCCTGATTATTCTGAGGTAGAGAGCCAGTAGTGGGAGGCTAAAAAGGACTGAGAGCTGGGAGGCAGTGGAACAGCTAGTTTGCTTATCTTTCTGAGCTAAAGAGCCAATGTCAGAAGGATGAAAAAGGCTATGTCACTGAACTGTGTTGTGGGCAGAAGAGTCCTGAGACTAGTCACTCTCGGGTGGATGGTCTGGAGAGTGGGTGGCCTGGTAACAAGGGCAGAAGGGAACTGGGAATCAAGTACTGGTGGACTCATTGGTGAGGAGCTTAGAATCATAGGATTAGAAGGGACCACATCTAGTCTTACTCTCTGCCAAGATGCAGGATTTTTTGTTTACCCCATCAAAGAAAAATGGATATCTAGTCTCCTTTTGAAAACCTTCAGAGAAGGAGCTTCCACAAGCTCTCTTGAAACATCTCTGTACATTTTCATGTTTATTTTGTGAATTGAGAAAACAGTTTTTTCATGAAGGTTCTGTGGATTATTATATGGGCATTTGAATAGTTTATGCCTGGGGGTGGGATTTTAAGTGGATACTGAGAGAGAACATGTGCCTTTTTGTATCCTTTGCTTAATAGGTCACTTTGCCTTCCAGCTCTTCTTCACTCACCAAATGGATACAGATCTGTTCTGCAGTCTTTAATTGGAGCTGCAGTGACCAGAATTCTTGCTCAGCTGTTGTTGCCTGTCATTATGTCATATCTCCCTGTATTGTTCCAGAGAAGCCATTGGTTATAACTCTCATGGTGATGCTGTTTTGCTATTTTGGACAAAAGACCTCAGATATACTTTTCCTTCCCATTTCCTTATTACCACTACTTACAGTGAAGAGGTGACATGACAGAGCTAACATTTTCTTAAGCCCTTACTGATCCAGACAGTTCTGGTTCACAGAAGTTCTAATGATGTCTGCCTACACCAGTCAGGATATATCCATTTCTGGATCTCCTAACCTGGGGTAGGAAAATCAAGAATCCCTATATGGGCTCACTCAATCTCATAGACTCAGATTGGATGGAAATAAAATGTTCTTGCTTGGTCCCTGTTTAGGAGATCCTTAAACCAAAGTAGAAAGGATTCTACTATAACCTGCTCTTTGGCCAAATGAAGATGCTTTTTGGCCAAGGTGCAATTCAGTCTGTGCCCCCCCAGTCAGATTCTCTGCTCCTCGGGCTTCTCATTTCAGGCCCATTCTCCCTGACCAGCAAGTCCAGTTCCACCTTCCTCCTGGTTCTTCATCAAGTTGGTCTTTTTCTTGTTTCCCCATTAACTCCCAATCAGTCTTCCTTCCTGGGCTCCTCATCCAATCTCAGGGTACGTTTACACTGCAGCACTATTTTGAAATGACTAGCGCTGTTCTGAAATAACTTAGTCCGCGTCTACACAGCAGGCAGTTATTTTGAAACAGTGTCAAAATACTGTCAACGTAGAGGACTTCCTACTCTGACTCCTGTAATCCTCATTGTATGAGGAATAAGGAAAGTTGGAGGAAGAGTGCTCTATTTCGAAATTAAGTGCTGTGTAGACACTCCCTATTTCAAAATAAGCTTTTTTGAATTAAGTTATGCAATTGATGTAGCTCAATTTATGTAGCTTATTTCGAATTAAGCCCTGCAACGTAGAAGCACCCTCAGTATCACTCCTTGACTTGTTGCCAAAGACTCCCCCTCCCTGACTTCTTGTCTCAGCCCCTAGGGGTTTGTTAGTGTCCTGCCCATCCCACTCTGCTCACATCTTTAGCTTCTGTGTAATTTTAGTGCTCCTTCCTACAGCCAGCAATAACTAGCTCCCAGTTCCCACCTTTTTTCTCTCACTAGGCCTTAGCCTCCTTTACCCTCAGCTCCCAATCCCTGTTGTCATAGAATCACAGAATCATAAAATACTAGAGCTGGAATGGACCTTGAGAGGTCATTGAGTCCACTTCCCTGCCCTGACAGCAGGACCAAGCACCATCTATATCATCCCTGACAGGTGTGTGTGTTTAACCTGCTCTTAAATATCTCCAGTGCTGGAGAGTCTACAACCTCCTTAGTCAATTTATTCCAGTGTTTAACCACCCTGACAGTTAGGAAGTTTTTCCTAACGTCCAACTTAAACCTTCCTTGCTGCAATATAAGCCCACTATTTCTTGTCCTATCATCAGAGGTCGAGAACAATTTTTCTCCCTCCTTGTAACACTCATTTCGATACTGTTTTGCACAGCCAGTCTGTTTCAGTTTTACTAGGCTCTTCATCCCAATCTACTTCTTTCCCTCCCCTTGGTCTGACTTTTGTCCCCTTTTCATTCTAATCTGAGATGGCTTTCTCCTCCATGATGTCCGGAGTCTGCAGGGATATCATTGAGAGCACAGGAGAGACCGGTTCCTTGTTGCAGTGCCTTGTCCCACAGGGGCCCTGGAGCAGTCAGGGCAGCCATTAACAGCTTTATCCCTAGTCCTGGGCTGGAGGAAGATTGCTCATTTGCTCAGTGGAGATGGTGTATGTGCAGTCTGGTCACATATATTAGTTACATATATTAGGTGGAGCATATTCAGTTTCTGTGTAAGGATGGTGCATGCACAGTCTGTCCAGCACTTGGAGCTGTGAGCAGCTCGAGTATACTCATGAAGAATGGAATCTTCGGAGATTTTAGCAGCTAAAATCTCTTAAATCTCTACTGAGCATATGCAAACTGTAATTTTTAAAGACTTAACACTTGGCCTGATTTGGATGGATTTTCACAGTGGTTACACAAAGGCCATCTCTGACAAATTTTGAGTCTGTTCCAAATGCTGATCAAAGAACAAGTCACCAGAATTTTTTAATGTGAGCAAAACAACAAATGTTTCCCTAGCCTTATTTTTAGAAATGTCTGAGTTGTTTTCCCTTAAATTAAAAAAACAAAACAAAACAAAAGCATTCTGAAGCAGACATATGTCTTGGAGATTTTAAGCTTAAAGAATTAAAGTTTGGCAAAGTTTTAGGTCATTTACATCCCTTTCTAGATTGGTAATATCTTAAACACATTGCTGTTAACCCAATTCATGATGAATATTAACCATTTATTCAGAGTTTAATCTCTCATCTTCTAAGTCATTATTAATCCATATCAATACTTTGCCTCTCACCCTATGACAACTAAGTTTATTTAAGGATCCTAGCCAAAGGCTTTTTGAAGCCCTAAATAAATTAACTGGTTCTCCTTTATCTATTACTTTGACATGTTCAAAGAAGTCTTACAGACATGATTTTCCTTTGCAGAAACCATGCTGGTTAGACCCTGTCATATAATAAAGTGAAAGTCTGTAGCATGATCCAATGTTCAGATGTTGAAGCTAGACAAATCCAGATTAGAAATAAGGTGTAAATTTTAACAAGCTAATTAATCACTGGAACAGTTTATCAAGGTGTCATGTTGGATTCTCTATCACTGGCAGTTTTTAAATGAAGACTGGATGTTCTTCTAAAAGATCTGTTTTAGGAACTATTTTGGGGATGTTCTATGGTCTGTGCTATATGGGAGGCCTAGATGATCACAGTGGTCCCTTCTGGCCGTGGAATCTATGAATGTGACTATTTGAGTTTTATGAAGTCTGATTTAGTTAGCTTAGGAAAATATAGTAAATTTAAACTTCAGTGATTTTTTTTTATTTTTTAATTATATATTTTTTTAAATTTTCTAGGCAAAAAGCTACTCTGAAGCCCTTCAGTGGTACAACTATTCTCTCAGCTTCTATTCACCTTGGCAGATAGATCAGAACTTGGCTAAGTTGCAGAGGAACATGGCTTCCTGCTACTTTCATCTGATGCAACTTGAAAAAGTATTTTTTTGTTGTGTTGCAATGTTAATGGGATTTGATTTCAATTGTGAAAGGGTAAAGGGTAATGGAGGGTTGTTCTGTTGTTTTTCTGTGTTGTTGCATGATTACACTTGGGTTAAAATGTGCATACTTAATTATTATTAATGTATTTGTTTTCATTAGATCCCCACTGCCACTTCTGGGTGCACTTCAGACATCATAGCCTGATTTTTGCCATAAACAGCTTACAATCTAAAAAAATAATGGAGTAAA